AAATTAATAATAAATTTTAAAAAATTTAAAAAAAAGAATGTCTATCTGTGTTTTATTGACTATGCAAAGGCATTTGATTGTATGGGTCACAAAAAATGTGGCTAACCTTGAGAAAAATGGGAATCCCAGAACACCTGATTGTGCTCATGTGAAACCTATACTTGGACCAGAAAGCAGTCATCAGAACAGAGCGAGGAAACACTGCATGGTTCAAAATCAGAAAAGGAGTGCATTAGGGATGTGACCTGACTCCATAACATTTCAATCTATATGCAGAACAAATTATTTGGGAGGCTGGACTTTATGAGGAAAAATGTGGCATCAGGATTGGTAGAAGCCTCATCAATAAACTAGGTTACAAAAAATAAATTAAAAAAAAATAAACTAGGTTATGCATATGACACAGCCTTGCTTGTTGAAACTGGGGAAGGCCTGAACCATTTTGCTGCAGAAGGTCAAGGACTATAATCTACATTGTAGACTGAAGTTCAGTATCAAGAAAACAAAGATTCTCACCAGTGGGCTAGTTGGCAGCATCATGATAGATGGAGAAGAAGTTGAGATTGTGAACAGTTTCAACTTACTTTGTTCCACAATCAACACTCTTGGTATCAGCAGTCAGGAAATAAGAAGACAAATCACATAGGAAAATCTGCTGTCAGAGACCTCTCCAGAGTGGTAAAGAGCAACAGTGTCAGTATAGAGACTAAGGTGTGTCTGATCCAGGCCATGGTTTTCACAGTTACCTGTTATGCCTCAGAGAGCGGGACAGTGACCAAGAAAAACAGAAGAAGAATTGATGCCTTTGAGTTGTGGTGCTGGAGTAGTGTATTGAACATGTTATGGACTTCCAAGAGAACTAACAGGTCTGTCCTAGAGAGGATAAAGCCAAGCTGTTCCTTAGAAGCAAGGATTTTGAAGCTCTATCTGCCATACTTTGGGCATGTTGCCAGAAGGGACCAGTCCTGAGAGAAGGACATCATGCTTGGAAAGGTGGCGGGACAGTGTAGGAGAGAAAGACCCTGGATGAGATGGATTGACGCAGTGACTGGAGTAATGAGGGTAAGTGTATCAGAGCCAGTGAGATTGGCCCAGGATAGAGCAGGGTTCAGAGCTATTGTGCAGAGTCACTATGAGTTCTGGTTGACTCAATGGCACCTAACAACAATAACTATCCAGTTGGCATGGCTTGGCCCTGTCTTACAGCGTAGAGCCTGGTGCAGGGCCCCTCCAGTGCTCAGTGTAGAGCTTGTATGAGGGCCCGGTTCCCTGGGTCCCTGTCTCAGGGAGCCACAGGCTGATCTAATAGGCCTCACAAGGACAGGAACAGACGGAGAACGAGAGGCTATGAGCAGTTAAGATAAATGATTTGCATGTTCTTATTTATTGATTTAAGTCTGGTGGAATTTATCGAGCTGGAAAGCAGGCATCTGTATATAATAGCTATCCCTTGTTCTTGGAGTCAGTCATACTGAATATATCTTTGTATGTTTATGTTCTTAATAGGAACATTCTTCAGAACTATTGCAGAATCTTTTTATTTTTTTTTTTTCCTTTCTTAATGTGAAAGCTTACAAATAAAAACCAGATTTTTTCTTAACAGGGGAAGGAGCCATTTACTTGTTCGATATGTGTCTACAACAGCTGTTTGAAATAAAAGTTTTCAAGGAAAAACACCATTCTTGGTTCATAAATCAGTCGGTCCAGTCAGGTGAGTGACGTGGTGTGTATATTTCCACAAGCCGGCCACATGCTCTGGCTTGTCCAGCCTTCACACAGGCCTGGCTTGCGGGGTTGGAGCCTGCACCTTGGGTTTGCCTTCCCTGGCACCATCCTCCGCCACTGAGTTGATTCTAACTCTTAAGGACCCTCTGTTGGACTTCCAAAGCTGTAAATCTCTAAGGAGGAGACTGCCCATCTTTCTACTGGGGAACAGCTGGTAGAGATGAACCACTGACTTTGGGTTCGCAGGGCAGCAAGTAATACATTACACCACGAGGGTAATTTGGCATGAGCAAAACCACCTCATCATTGCTGTCAATTCATAACTACGTCATAGCTGTAAATCCTACAGGAGGAGAATGTGCAGGGGAGGGGAGGATTAATCCTGGAGTTGTACAATTTGATGCGTGGGAGGTGAGGGAAATTGGAAGAATCTGCTCTGGACTGGGCCGGAGAAGGGGTGCGGGGGGATGTCTGTATAACAGTAAAAGAATTATTTCCCCCCAAAGAAAAAAGCAAACTAGTGGGGAGGGTAGGCGGGGAGGAAAATGTGCAACAATAAATGAATGGGGGGAAAAAAGAAAACTATATTTGATTTTTTTAAATAAACTTGTATAATCATCATCATCATCATCCTACAGGAGGAGATTGCTCATCCCACTCCCTTGGAGCAGGTAGTGGATTCGAACTGTCTGCCTTTGAATTGGCAGCTAAACTCTCTCCCCCCTAGGCCACCAGACTGGCACTATTTATTGTTGTTAGGTACCGATGAGTTGAGTATGACTTGTAGCAACCCTATGAACAACAGATCTCATCGGAGGGCTTAATCAAGGAGAAACTTAACCAGCATCACTGTCACTGGATTGATTCTCAATCCTAGGGACTCTAGAGAGAGCAGGCCTGCTCCTGGTGCTTCCTAGGCTGTGAATCTTCGTGAGCAGACAGCCTCATCTTTCTCCCACAGGACAGCTGATGGGTTCTGGCCCTCAGTCTTTTGGTTGGCAGCCAGATGCTTTATGCTTTCCACCACGAGGGATCCTTGTAAAGGCCATCTGAGCAGGTTTAGATCTGTCTTTCACAAAAGGTTGGAAATTCTGCACTGGTAACTGACTTGTCTGCTAACAGAAAGCTCTGGTGACATGGACCATACAGAGCTGCACAGCTAACTTGGAGGTGCCACCTCTGGTGGTGTGAATCCCCCAGCAGCTCTGAGGGAGAAAGATAGGCAGGCCCCTCCTGTGAGATTTATAGTGTCCCCAAAACCCAATGGAAGATCAGCTCTGAGTTGGTTTTGATTCAACAGACAGTAACAGATGAGTAGGTAGGTGACTATTGAACTGGTGACACACCCCACATCAGAAGCCAGATCACTTTTGTAGCACGGGGTTCACCTTGTGTCACCTGGGGCTTTTGTTTTCCCTCCTAGCCTCTTGTGAGGAATTTGGTCTTGGTTTCCTCTATACAGAAATACTGTAAGAGGGTGGCTTTGTCAGACAGAAATTTATTTTCTCACAGTTCAGGAAGTTAGAAGTTCAAATGCAGGATACCAGCTATTGGGGATACTTATGTTCTCTCTTGTCTCGGGTTCTTAACCCTGACAGTTCTGGGTAACCTATGCATGACATTTGTCTTTCCACGCTGTGTTTGTGCTCCTGTGCCTGTGATGTTCCTTCGTCACCTCTCGGTGATGAGCCCTGGAATAGAGCCAACACTAACCAAGCTTCCCTAATATAGCAAAGAAAACCAAGTGCTAAACAGGGTGATATCTACATACAATATATGCAAGGGATTAGGATTCTATGACATATTTTGGAGAGAGAACGATTCAATCAATAACAGCCTTCAACTTTTAAGTATTTCATTTTCTTGAAAAGGCATACTATTGGAATTTGAAGAGAGTCTATATTGTAACAAAGATTTTAGTGTTTTGTCATGTAAATTATCTGTTCCCTCACTCATTCCCCCAAACCATCAAAATTCTGGTTCTTCTAATGCTCCCTTGGTTTGGGGGCAGTGCTAATCAGTGGGGGAAAATGCCATGCAATCCCTGTTCAGGGACTTGGCCGGGTAGTCACTGCATAGTGAAGGCATTCTGCAGTGGAGGTTCAGTGGAGGAATTCTTGTCTTCCACGTAGGAGACCCAGGTTCAATTCCTAAGCACTGCACTTTACTACCTGTCTGTGGAGGCGTGTTTGCTGCTGCGATGCTGAGCAGATTTCAGTAGAGTTTTCAGACTAAGGCAGACTATGCAGAAAGGACTGCTATCCACTTCCACAAATCAGCCAATGAAAACTGCAGAGGTCACCACACATATCTGATCTACAGCTGACCATGAGCATGTTGACCATGGGACAGGACCGGGGACTGCTTTGTTTGGTTGTGCATGGGTTCATTATGGATTGGGGCCAACTTGACAACTGCCAAGACCAATAGTCTCTATATCTGCGTGCACACTCACTGCTTTCAGAGAATGCTTTCTGTTTCTTGCAAACCTCTGCTTTCTGTTGGCTGTGTACACTGCCACTTCATTCTAGGGTAGAAAGAGCTCTTTACCTTTCTTTTAAGGCATGTCACAGGAAAAATATTGCTGGTGGTAAATCTTATAGATCATTGTGCCTGAGAAGACTGGATGTAGCCTGCAGTTGCCAGAATGGAAAGCCAGGTTTCGGCTAGTAGTTGGAAAACCCACAGAGCCCATAATTGCTGCTACTGTACTCATCCAGTTGGTAATTAATAAAGACTCTTCAAGTGCTCTTGTGGATTGCCCTTGCAGTGGGATTTAACTGGGCAGACATAGTCACTTCCAGGGCGAAACAGGAAAGACAGCCCCGGGCTGCCTGAGTGGTACCTGCTTTTTTCATCACTGTTGTATTTTTCAACTGGATCCTGGGGAGCAAGCTGTTTTTAAGAGCAGCCACCAGGATATTGTTTTCGGATCAAAAATCTGTTCCTAATTTTGAGTAAAATGGATGTTTCATATAAAATGAGCTTCTGTTTTTATAAATTTCTCTTCTTTTTCTTTTTTTTTTTTTTTAATACTCAAGCATCAACACAATCAACACAGCAATATGAAATTATTTCCTTAAGGTTTGGTTGTTTTGGTTTTGGGGATTTTTGTGTTGGTTTTTTTTGGTTTGTTTTTGTTGTTGTTGTTTTGTTTGTTTGTTTTTCTTACTAAGAAGTAGAATATTTGGTTATATAGGCAACATTACTCTATTAGAGAATATATGTAAGTGTGCAAGAAGGGAAGACCCTGGATGAGATGGATTGACACAGTGACTGGGGTAATGAGGGTAAGTGTGTCAGAGACAAGAAGATTGGCACAGGATAGAGCAGGGTTCAGAGCTGGTGGACATAGGGTCTCTATATGAGTCACAAGCAACTCAACAGCACATAATAGCAACATGTATATATTGGTTTGATAGAATTGCCATTATAAAGTACCTTAAGGTGTTGTTTTTGTTGTTGTTAGGTGCTGTCAACTAAAGCTCATAGCAAGCCTATGAGCCAGATCTGAACCTTCCTCTGGCCGGCACCATCCTCACAATCTCTGGCGTGCTAAAGCCTGTTGTCATAGTTGTTTGATCATTCTCTCTCCTTGAGGATCATCCTGTCTTTCTCTGACCCTCTACCTTTGCCGGCATGATGTCTTTTTCCAAGGATTAGTTCCTTCTGATAATATACCCAAAGGGTATGAGAAGTCTCACTCTTCGAACCTCTAAGGAGTACCCTGGTTATCCCTTTTCCAAAACACATTGGTTTGTTCTTTTCAAAGTTCACGATGTAGTATACTCTTTTCCAACACAATTCACCATTCAAAGACATCAATTCTTCTTTGGTCTTCCTTATTCATGACCCAATTTTCAGATGCATAGGAAGCAATTGAAAATACAATGGCTTATATCAGACAGCACCTCGTCTTTAAACTAACATCTTGCACTTTAGAACTTTGGAGATGTCCTTGACAGCAGATGTTCTCAAGAGTAACACATCTTTTGATTTCTTGGACTGCTCCTTCCTTCAGTGCTAATTGTGGATCCAAGTAAAATGGATCTTACTCTCCACAAGGTGCATAGATAGTGTTAGACAACGAGAATCCAGTGTCTCACAGATCTCGGGGCTAGAAGTTCAAATCAGGGACGCGCTATGTCCGGTCCTTTGGGAGCTCTGGGAGAGGAGCTCACAATCCAGTTTCAGGTGTCTGTCCTTCTGCCTCTGACATCACGTGACTGTCCTGGCTGTGTCCCGTGAATGTCCTGGCTGTGTCCGTTCTACTTTTGTAAGGACATTACTCAGTTAGGGTTTGACTCATGTTAACTCACCTCAATGCATCTTCAGGGATTCCATTTCCAAACAGAGTTCAATGGTTAGGACTCCCACATGTCTTTTCAAGGGATGCGGTTTAACCCATGACAGTGTATTTCACTAAGACAGTGAGTTTTGAGGAGGTTTAAAGGAAGGCTTGCTGTTTATGTAGTAAAATTCCCTGGTTCGTGTCCTGGGAAGAGGTGTGTGGGATGCTTGGAGGGGCTGGCTGGCTGTTTTGTTGTGATTTGCCTTCTTTTTTTTTTTTTTAATTTTTCATTCATAGGAAATATTTAATTAAAAATAATTTGACAGAGTGACTGTAGCAGTGGGCTTGCGTGTGTCAGAGGTTGTGAAGAGGGCGCAGGATAGGACAGGGCTCCAGTGTGTTCTACTCAATAACAACAACAACAGGAACTAATGAAGTTGCTCTAGAGGTCTAGCATGTAGCATGTTGGGCCGCTAAAGGAAGGGCAGGTGGTGGTAGCTTAGTGGTAAGGAGTTGTTCTGCCAACCTACAGTTAGAGGGTTCAAATTCCCCAGTTGCTCCTCAGGAGTTTCCTCCTGTGAGATTTACTGCCTCTTCTATCCCACTGGAGGGCCAACTATGGGTCATTTTCGATTCAACAGTACACCACCACATTGACAGAGAGAGAGAAGGATGGGAAGTCTCCTGACATGAAGATTTATAGCCTTGGAACCCCCGCTTAGAAGGTTCATCGTATACCAGAATGAGCAGCATTGGGTTTGGTTCTGGCATCGTAGCTTAATGATGTTGAATGTGTTGTCATGTGCCTGTTGGTCATCTTATATCCTCTTGGGTGAAATGTCTGTTCAAATCCTCAGCCATCCTTTTTTGATTGGGTTGTTTGCCTTTATTATTATTATTATAAAGGTATGTTGTTGTTATGTGCCGTCGAGTCGTTTCCGACTCATAGCGACCCTATGCACAACAGCCCTAAACCCTGCTCTATCCTGCGCCAACCGCACCGCCTCTGACACACCCATCCCAATTACCCCAGTCACCGAATCAATCCATCTCATAGAGGGTCTTCCCCTCCTGCGCTGTCCCTCCACCCTCCCAAGCATGATGTCCCTCTCCAAGGACCCGTCCCTCCTGGCAACATGTCCAAAATATGTTAGACGAAGCCCCAGAATTCTTGCCTCCAAGGAGTAGCTTGGTTTAATCCTCTCTAAGATGAATCTGTTTGTTTTCCTGGCAGTCCATGGTACATTCAGTACCCTTTTCCAGCACCACAGCTCAAAAGCATCCACTCTCCTTCTGTCCTCCCTAGTCATTGTCCAACTCTCTGATGCATAACAAGCGATTGCAAAGACCATGGCCTGTATCAGGCACACCTTAGTCTCCAGAAAGACACTGTTGCTCCTGAGTACCTTAGAGAGGTCCCTAACAGCAGACTTTCCCATCGCGATACGCTTTTTGATTTCCTGAACACATACCAATGTCTCGAGAGTGATTTGCCTTCTTTCTTCTGGGCTGGAGAGCATCACTAATTTTGTGGTCCATGAGTTGATGTCCAGTCTTGTGAGATTGCTGCCCTCTTACCTTTCCTTCCCCAGATGTGTGGGGAGACATGGTGCCTGGGAGACCACAGAGGGATCCGAGTGCATGAGGAATGTTAGCGCATTCCTGTGACTCTGTCCTCAACACAGGAAATTCTGCTTGGCTGCTCCTTTGTAGATGCACCTTAACCCTTTCTTTGTCGGCTCCTGTTGCAAATTATTGCCAGGGCAAAAAAAGGCAAGTTAAAGATCCCTTCTCCGTGCCTTGAGTTTCCTCGCCAGGTGGGAGTTTAGAGCTCTTTGGGATGAGATCTGACAGACACAGTCTGCCTTTTAGAGAATGACAGAAACCCTGGGCCTCTGTAACTCACTCATTGTTGTCAAGTGGGAACTGGTTCATAGCTGACCCTCCAGAACGCTTTCAGAGGCTGGAAGTTGCATGAGAGGAACTTGCCCATCTTTCTTCCTCGGAGCCACTGGTGAACTTGAACTACTGCAGAACTTTGGCCTTTGGGTTAACAGCACAGCTTCATATGGACGAGACTTGAGTAAAGAGTTTTTACATTTGGGATTTCCAATGCATTTTTTATGAATTGTCTTCCCACTGGGATTAAGAGGACATGATTGACCTGTATTTCCAAGATATCTCATTCTCTGTGTTCTTTTTCTAATCTGTAGAGGGTCTTCTCCACTTTGCCACACCAATGGATCCATTATTTCTGGTTCTCCACTATCTCATAAAGGCTGGAAAAGAGGTGAGTTTCTCAATTTGGGAATATTAGCCATTAAGGAACAGAATACACTAGTCTGTACTTTTTCTCTCTTTTAATTGTCCAATGTCGATTCCCCACACGGCAGGCTGAATCTGGTTACTGTAAATAATGTGTATCCTGTGTGTTCACATAGACTAGAGCACTGGCATACAGAGCTGAGAGCCTGGGCCTTGATCAAGATCCCGTTAAACACTTCTTGGGTGGTGCGTACAATTAGCACCCTTGCAGTTAACCACAAACCACAAGGTTTGGAAGGTTGAATTCACCCACAGGTACCTCAGAGGAAAGACCTGGCAGTCACCTTCCAAGAAATCAACCGCTGAGAACCTTATGAAGCACAACTCTACTCAGACACCCATGGAGTGGCCTCTGTGGCTCCTGCTTAGTTTAAAGTGAGCTTGCCATGTGACGACTGAGACCCGTCTTTTTTTAAAAATTATTATTATTATTAATTTTCATGAAAATTTATAAAGATTTTGAATTTCCATTCATTCATTGTTGCACTTTTTTCCCTGCCCACCCCTCCCCTCCAGTTCGTTCCTCTCTTTGAAAAGTAAAAGAAAAATTCTTTCATTGTTATACAATCCCTCCCCCAAGTCCATTCCACTGTGCAGCCTTCGTTCTGGACTCCTGTCATGACAATAATACCTAATCACATATTCCTTTTAAACAGTTCTCTCCCTCATCTGTTTCAACGCAGTATACATTATTTAACCCATCTTTCTCGGTCTCTCCCCAAACCCCGATGTCAGTCCTGTGTTACAACAGTGGCACGAGACCCGTCTCAATCCATTTCCATTTTATCTCTGTAATACTGCCATAGTCCATTGTTGATAAGTAGCATGTTACTTTAGAGTCAAGATTTTAAAATACTGGTTGACCACAAAGGAGTCTACATTACAGTGGAAATCTAAATACAGTAAGACCCGGGAAATACCTGGGAAATGATCCTTCACAAGAGAGAACATTTGAGTTGAGGCATTTCTTGCTGCTTATTTTCCTCTGATTTACTATTCCCCATACTCCCAACTTGATCAGTGAGAGTATTTCACCCTGAAAAACCAAAGAAAATGACATTTCTGGAAAGAAAACTGATCAGACACAGTTGTCATTGAACCAGAAAGTAGGTTTTGCATGAGCGAAACTGTGCATCTTTTGCAAATCATTTGACAGTCCCTTGTATCCTGGTATCCCCAAATGTGGAGACTGATATCTTCATTTAGACAGACCCCCTCTCTGCATTGCCAAGCAAAGTAAAAGACAGCCGAACTTCAGAGAGAAGAACAATGTTCTGGATCCTTCGGCTGGGCGCTTTGGGGCAGCTGGCAGCCAGGCCTCCTCACTCAGCTGTCGGCCTCTGGAGGACTGTGTGCAGCTTGCCTGCCCTTCTCCCCCCAGTTGTTTTTCCTCATATTACGGCCTCAGTGTGAAAGATTTACACTTCGTGTTTTCTTTTCTTTGTGAGTCTTGCTTTCTTTAGCCATGCAGTCAGTGTGAGATAGAGAGATGTATATTTAAAAGAAGAAAAAAACAAACCCCGAACACCAAAAAAACCAAATCCAAGCCAGATGTTACCAGGGGATTTAGAGTCATAGTGACCCTGTGTGTTTCGGAGGAGACCTGCTCTCCATAAGTTTTTCGTGACCATGTTATTTCAGAAGCAGATCACCAGGCCTTTCTTCTGATTTGAACTGCCAACCTTTTGGTTATTAGTCTAGCCTTTTGTGCCACTTAGAGGAACTGTTCTGGTCCCCATCTGGGTTCCTTTCCATGTGACGATTGGGACATCTGCTCTGTGATGCACACAGCTCACAGCTGCCTCATCCTCCACTCAATGGGTTGCACCAGCCCCAGGTAACCTCTCCCATCTTTGTGAGTTCCGTGGCTCCCAGGGCTTTTCCAGAACAATACCCTTCTTTGATAGATGTTGTGCTGGCTGGAGCCCTAGTTCTGGGAAGAGCTTCCTAAAAGGAGCTAAGGGGCAGCTCTGGAGCCTGCCCTGTTCAGGGTGAGCCTTCTCAGGGATTCATTATATGGGATAACAGATTCTGACTTTGGTTTAAAAGCCTAGCTGTAAGGTGATGTATGTAACTTTTTTTGCATGTGGGTTTGTTGACTCATTAACATGATTTTTCAGGGAAAGTTCCAACCCCTAGAGCAAGTTATGGTGGATGATGTATTTCCAAATTGCATCTTATTGCTGAAACTTCCTGAACTTCAGAAGTCACTTCACCACGTTACAGAGGAGAAAGGTACAGCATGTGGGCTTTGACAACTCAAAGAATGGCTTTGGAAAGGTTTGGGAGTGTAGCCGCTTAGAGACCCACTCTATTTTTTTTTCTCTATATTTTATTAATTTTCATAAACATTTACAGAGATTTTGGGTTTCCATTCATTCATTGTTGCACTATTCTCTCTACCCTCCTCCCAGTTTGTTCTT